TGGCTGCTGCCTTGCCTGAAGGGGAAAAGGTGTCGTGTCTTCCCTGAATCAAGTGTTTGTACGACCTGACATTGTCCAAGGTTGTCCAATAGTATGTCGTACATTAACTCAGGTACATGACGTTTTGGAGATGCTATAGAAGAGGATGGGACAAGGTCCTGAGGTTTTTACCTCCCTCAACGCACGGATGCTGCGAAACCTGCTTAAAATGCAAAGATGAGTTCCGGGCAACCAGAGAGACTTAGCCAGAGAGTGAATACGTTGGTTATTAACACTGTGTAAACCTTGGGATTCTGAGTTGACTAATTCTTTGGCTCAGGATTTGCAGCAAAAATATCAAATAGCGAAGGACTACAAAATTCACATAGACCAGGTGGGACGCGATAGATCCCTTGAAGAATTTTGTCAAGTGCGCAAGCTGCAACTAAATGCTACACTGCTGTGATCCTTCACTCATTCCATGTGATATTGTGAACCCAAGGCACAGTCACCAATCCAAATGCCTGGAAATCCGATGTGCATATTCTGGGTGTCTTGATCTGATGAGGGTGTTTGTAAAATCTCTTGGGGGCCTGTTGGTTTCCTAAAATTGTTGGTTTCCTCAACCCGGGTCTCTCACCCAGCCCAGCCTTTTGATTTTCAGCTGCTGGTGAAAATCTATTCTACGTAATGTGTGAAACATTCCATCCAGGACGGAATGGACCAGGCAAAGTGGAGCATACCAAGAAGCCGAGAGACAAGATCCGCGAAGGCAATACTCATGTTGCCTAAGCCCCGCTTCAAAATCCAGGGCGTCTGGATTCAGAATGTATGTCTGGACATGTACGTCATTGACTGCAGAACGAAATCCGATGCCAGCACGGTATTGGAATGTGGACTGAGATCTATCGAAGGTGCAATGAAAAAGTGTGATGATCAAGGGAAACCAAGACCTGATCAAGCAATCATCTGGGAAGCTTATCTCAACAGTAAGAAAGCACTGTATCTTACAACGCTGAACATGCAGGGTTACTAGACATGGGGTGATTGAACTTGTGCAGGGTTACTAGATATACTAGGCGTGATTGAACTTGTGCAGGTTGCTAGATTCAGATGTATACTAGGGGTGATTGAACTTGCACAGGGTTACTAGATGTATACTATCAGGGGTGATTGAACTTGTGGAACCAATTCAACAAACTGATGAGTTCACAATCCAAGGCAGATAACTGCCCGAGGGAGAACAAAAACAATGTTGTGCTGAAGCTGCTATGTTGGTTGGTGGGCTCATCCAAACTGAGCCTTGCTGCTTTACTCTTCAGCTCCGTGGGTCACACTCACGGGCCCCTTGGAATCTCGGATCCAGGTCAAGCTTCAAACCTGTAACTATCGAAAACTCAATTTGAGCCTTCAAATAGTCTTGGACACGTTGCTTCTCTCGGACACTAAGATCAAATCTTCGGACTATTAGCAACTGCTGTACGGTATTGCGACATCCTCGCCGATGCTGAAGATGTAGTGCAGTGCTTGCCTCAATGTCCTTGAACATAACAATAAGCAGCACAATATGGACAATGCACGCTTAGAATCTTGCTGCTCCCAGGAAGATTGACACATTGCTGAACAAAATAGGGCTTCGACAGTGGATTGGAGAACACGCAAAAATCAATGTCCAGTTTATATCCGGGGTGAGAGACTGGAAAACTTGGCCCTTTGTCTGACTTAATGTCACAGTGGAACTTTAAGGTTGGTTTGACATACCTCACTTTGTCTTGGCCTTGGCAGCAAGATTCTACAGTGGCACCATGTCGGCTGTCAACTCAGGACTTCCAATGCTCCAGTGACCTTTAGCGGGGGCATGAGAAACGATGAGAGTGCTTGGCACGCTTTCATTATGATCAAAAGACGAGGCATGTACAGGGAAAACTGTTTGGTGGATTGAAACCTTTCAGTCAACCAAAAGTGTGGGGTGCGTGTCCTTGCAGATTTGCCCCGGAACATCACGGTGGAGGCGACGGGTAGAGGTGCTTCCTTTGAGGCGCATCCAGAGGATGTCATTCTCATGGTGAAAAGGCACGCGAGTGATGACAAGTTGGGGCAGGAGAAATGGAAGAAAATGTGACAGAGTATGGGTTGGTGACTTTCGGTGGTCAATACCTGTTGTTTAGAGCATAGGAAACGGCCTTGAAGAAACTAGGGAATGGATGAGAATGGTATACCTGGGGAGTCATACTATGACTGACTGTAACATTGTAAAAACAATGTAAAACCTATCAACCAAAACGTTAAAGAGACCTTCTGCAAATGGTGGTTTTACATTCACCACATTCACCATGCTTGTGCAGGAGCCTTTGCTCGCGTTCCCACATCGATTCTTGCAGATGATGGGCCCTATACCACAGGAGCCGAGGCCTTTGGTCCCAGTCAAACCTGACAAAAGGGAAGCCTACATGACCATTGCCAAACACATCTTGAAAAGGGTTCCCACAGAATCTGATAGAAGATCGGTAAAGTTTTTAATCGAGCTGTGCACCAAGCTCTCCCCACAGCCCGTTCCGCCCTTGCCTTGGACGCAAGAAGCCGTTAGTGCAGAAGGTGTTCGCATCGGCCTTCCGCAAGCAGTGGCGCGCTTGTGCCCTGTAATAAAGTTCAGTGCAAAGCTTGGAGCTTAGACAGTGACAAGCTGACTCATCGGATGGGAAGAAAAAGAACATTTAATTTGCAAAGTAGTAGAACATAGTAGAACGATATGAAGCACTCTCATCACACCTGAACTCACATCTGACTCTGGTTCTTTGCACCTCGAAGCCATTTTGTTTTGCAAGACTGTATAGAGTATAGGGGTCTATCTAGTGATAGGCTACACAGGTCCAAGTTGTATAGTGGACTGTTCCCAAGATCAAGGCTGGGTAATTCTTCACTGGTTCATACTTTCCTGCTCGCATATGACCAGGCAGTCTTGCTTTCATGTCTGCCGCCCCTCATCAATCTCCAGTGGAGGCCAGAACCAAGAGTTCAATCATTGCCAAACAACCAACAATGGCCCAGGATTGGGATGACTACCTCAAGAACGAGCTCTACGAATCAGATGAATTGGAAGATTCCCAGGTCAGCTGTCCTGAAAAAGAAAGGAACCCCGAAGACTGAGTAAGAATCGGCTGTCATTCTGTGCTGCTTGTGGTGGTCAGGTGACAGTAGAACGTCTACTTTTCCGGAAGGCCCACATTCTTTAGATTCCGTTTGCTCACTGAGTCAGAGTATGCCTTCAACATGGAAGGCAGTCAAGCGGATGCATGAGGATCAACAGGATGCAGAGGTGGGTTTGTGTTGTCCCTGAAATATTTCACTTCATCCCCGTCCGGAAATCCATTTGCCAGGCCTCAAAGCGAAGAAGGTCTGAGCCTGATGACTTGGAGCCAGGTGAGGAATTGCAATAATTTGAATCTGCATCCAATCCAGTTTTTTGTTGAAACTGGGTTAATTGGAGTTGCCAATTGCAATGCTGCAACTCACCAGCTGAGCAAAAAGGTCTTTCAACGTTTTACTTCTTGGACAGGACAAAAACACTTCAGTCCCAAACTGCAGTCAGTGCAACTTTGAGAATTGCGGTTTGCGCCTTGATTCCTATATGTCACTGAAGGTATTGCTGAGCTTTGTTTGTCTTTAGGGTTGCATGCCATGGTTCATAAACAGCTGACCCTTCGGGAAGCAGTTGCCCTGATTGCTTCCAAGAGCTTGCCTGGGAAGCCAACCTCATTGACACCAAATAGGCCAGGGCCTGTGCCACAGAATTGCACGAGCAAATGTTTGACAGGAATGGAGTCCTTTCTACAGTAGGCATGATTCAAGGACCAAAGCTAGCAAAGCGGTCAAGAAGACCATTGAGAAAAAAACCAAATTGCTGATGCCTTAGCTGGTTTGTTTCATTTATCCCTTCTTGTGTTTATGTCGCTCTGTTTTTTTTATCGCCTTTCTTTGTCTGTCCTGTTTTGCTATCATGCAAGTGGCAAACACATGTTGGCTCAGGCGTTTCTATCCAAAGACATCTGTGCCAGCTGCCCCAGATGACTATCCAGTGAACTTTCGTTCTGTAAAGGATGTGTACCGCTGGCCAAACATGTTCTTAGAGAAGGCTGCTTCTTGTTTTGGAGTCAAGTGGGTGGCACAGCGGTTACGCCGTTGGAAGTGGGAGCTCTCAACTGCTTTCAGCGGAGTTGGATGTGCTGAGAGTGTCCGGTCCTTGGTTACTTACTGAAGCGTGTCATGAGGCTAGATTACGACTGGCTTGATGACTGGCTAGATTGTATCAGATTCAACTTGAACATGTTTAGGCCGCCATTAGCTTGGCTGCTGCAGCCAAAGCCTTTTTGAAGAAGCACTTGACATCGAATGTTCGTGGCACAAATCATGTCCAGCTTAGCTTTGCATGTGAAATTGATGGTGCATGCCAGCGTGTGCTGCGGTCCACATATGGGCACTCTGTCTTCTATAATATCACGAAGCTGAACATGACCAAGAACTCCTCCTTTTGCATCACACACCAAAAGATGTGTCCTATCCAGCACAAGTTGGATGATCCCACTCGACTCTTAGCGTAGTTCTTAACTTTATGTCAGTCAGTTGAATGTCAAGACGTGCTCGACTGACAATACCCCCACGCCTGGTTCAGTCAGGACTTCAAGTGAACGCATCTGGCACCGGCCTTGGGCATGTTTAGCAAACTGTTTAGCAAAATGAAGACTTATTTACAGCAGCCCTGACAGGTAGTCTAATATGATGCCAGTCCAATTTACAAAAAGCCTAGGTCCGGTTTGCGTTGACTTCAGCCTAATGGGCCAGAGAAAGAAGCAACATGGGCCAAGCTACGCAACACACAAAGCCTTCTACGATGCAGTGAGAAAAAGCAACTGGTCCCTGGTTTTCATAGAAATGTGACAGAATACCAGGAACAGTTGGTGCAACAGGAGTTGGGCAAGCCGTGGTGCATTCTTTCATGTCGCTTGGACCCACGGGTCCTAGGCATGGGATGCGCAAGAGCAAGGGTCTTTATGGTTGCTTATAGAACTGACAAGCTGGTGTGGGATGCGCCCTTTGGTTTGAATGAATTGGTAGAGTGTCTTCGAGGGCGGGTGGTGATGACAGCAAAAGATTACTACTACATGGACCTCCCCAGGGTGAAGCTTTCGGACGCGAATGACGCTTAGCAGCTGCTAAAGTTGACAACATCCACAATACCATTAACCATTGGGTACGATTGGTTTCATTTCTGACTGAGCGAGTTCCTACAGTTTGAGGCCTTTTTTGTTTGTCACTGTAGGGTTGTGTGGAAAGGCCCTCTTTGGTTGGGTAAGGAGCGGAACCTGGCAGACTACAATTCAGAGAGCCGGAAGCTGCAGTTTCCCGACCTCAACCAGTATGCTAAAAACGGCCGGGGACGAGGAGAGACAGTTGACAACGCTTTGCCAACCCTGACCACGACCAGTGGAAGACTGTTCTCCCAGGCCTGCGATCGTAGATTTAAATTTGATGTTCGTAAGCAGTCCATTCCCTTGGCACAACCAACCCAAGAACCCCAACTCTTCTGTGACCCACGGCCTGCCAGGCACATCACCGTTTCTTGCACCCAGATGAGATGCTGGCCAGCCACGCGTTGCCTATCTCAAAGGACCAGGGAAAGGCATGCAGGGCTCCAACTCTTGAGCTGGATAAAGTTCCATATACTTCCAAAGTCCACATGGCCGGAAATGCCATCAACATACCAACAATTGGTAGTGTGATGTTGGCAGCTGCTCTTGCATTCCAGCCAGTTCAGAAGCCATGACAAAATTAGACATGCCAAGAATGGTGCTTAATTCACTTGGCTCCTTTCGCTGCCCAATCAATTTGGATAATGCTTCTGTTCGGATAGCAGCCAAGAAACAAACTGTGACTGTGCAGCTTGCAGTGTATGTGACAAATTGTGCTTTACATTTTACTGTCAAACTGCACCAAGCAAGCTGCCTTGTTCGACAAAAGGCCCAAGCCTGGCCTCCGCCAGTGGAGTGGAGGACCACCATGTCCAAGCGTAGGACGCCTGGGTCGGATGGCCCTGCCCGTGGAAAAGCTCTCAAGAAAGCATCTCCATGGGTTGAACTCGTGATGCAGGGCCTTCAGCTCCTTGAATTAAAACACAATTCGTACTGTACTGTGGCATCCAAATGAACCTGTTTTGAATTGGTGTTCATCTCAAGGTCATTCGATGCGGAGAGGGATGAACATCCTGTCAAATTCGTGCTGGACAACCTGAACAATAGCCTGATTCCTGCAGTTGTCTGCTGGTTGGAAACACTACTAGGTGAAGAATTTCCCAAACCAGAGAAGTACACTATTGGGGCCCCTTGGGCTAGCAATACTATACTCCCTGGTCAATTGCAAGCCGTTTCAATTTTCACCTGTCCCCAACTCCTATTGTCCTTACCTCAGGACCCAAAGCAGGCGATGGAGGTCCCTCTTTTTGTGATGTGGTACAAGCAGCCCTCGGATGGTCTTCCACTTCTCCAATCTTGGCTAAATACCGCTAGCGACATATTCTTCGGTGGCTATGATACTTGGAGGGAGCCAATGGAGTGCAAATTGAGGGCCCCGCGCAAGCCAGGTGATGCGTTGGCGGTTGCTGACCTGGAGGTGACAAAGGGCAGTGGAAGGCTCTCTGTCTTGTACTTTGGAGTGCTCTGGACTTTTTTGCATCACAGCAATGACATGACCCCAGAGCAAATTGCTGATTTCCACAGGCGTGGTAGTCCTTATCGGGCTTTGTCAGGGCTTGAGAGCAGGTAGACTGACTAAAAGCTGTGAAAGCTGGGGGGAATCAACTCGCATTAAAAAACAGACCATCTGGGTCGTCCTTTCAGCTAAAAAAGTGAGGAGGAGCAAAGGGTGATGGTTTCGCTGGGAACGTCGTCCTTTGGATATTTTGGGGATAGTCTGGAAATGTCTGGGGATGCTGTGGGGATATTGTGGGGATAGTTTGGGAATGCCTGGGATTAGTTTTCCTTGGTGGGTGTGACTGTTCTGACCTAGGTGGGGAGTCTGCCAAAATATCCAAAGGGTGATGGTCCCGTCGAAACCGTCGTCCTTTCAGGAAACTGAAAATTAAAGCCCAAAGGGTGACGCAGAATGTCTCAGGAGGGTAGGGTTGGCAACCACCGCAGCTGCAACTAAAGCTAGTCGTTCAAAACCTAGCCAGATATTTTGGGGATCTTTGGGGGTCATGGTTTCACCGAAACCGTCGTCCTTTGGATATTGTGGGAATCGAAAACGTCGTCCCTGAGATATTTTGGGAATCGAAAACGTCGTCCCCGAGGTATTTTGGGATATATTTTGGGAACCTCTTGCATTGGCCCCACAATATGCTGACTGATAGAAGTGTGGATGGGCCAGGTGTTTGTCCACAATGTTCCCTTGGAAGGTGGATGAATACAGTCCGTTTTCTTGGCTGCACCCTTGTCGAAGAGACCACGCCCATCAATTACGAATGGCGGCGTATTCAGACCCATGAGCAGCAGGCAGAGAGACAGAAGAAAAACCTTCTGCAAAAGGCCTTGATCTTCGGAAACAGGGCCGACCAACTTCGTTTGGAGGACCCCAGTTAAAGCCAACCAGCACTTAATGATCTTAACTTAAAGGTCTAAATATTTAATAGGGAAAGGAACACAGTTTCCTAGCTGGCAAACATTTGCAGGACCCCCATACCTTTGGGAATGGTGAGGATAGTCTGCTCAGTGCATTTCTTCATGGGGTGCAAGAGTACAATGATTACGGAGCAGCATCGACAAACGCAAAATACAGGATCGACGAATCCCAAGCTCTGGCGCTGTTTGCTTTCAGGGAAACTTTGCCAATTAGTAGAACACTTTGCCTTTTTACTTCTGAAACTGAATATCAACTTCCACAGTAAACTAGATTCTGATAACCAAGGTTGGTGTGTGCCCTGATGTTTGGGAAATGCTTCAAAGACACTTACACATGTTCAGATGGGAGAACTCAGGTGGGGACCATAAACCATCTTCTGATTCTGATTATTGTTCATTCTATCGGGTGTGTATCAATTTTAAAATGTAGTTCAGTCGAATGCATATTATCCTTTCTCTCTGGAACCCTGACAGCCTTTGGGCGGGACACCCTCACCGACCATCGATGGCTACTTGGAGGCGTTCCCCGTGTAAGTCACAGCTCATGGCACACCATCCTATCCATGAACACCGAGAAGCAACTTTTGTTCATGAGGCGCATCATGCTGCTTCACAACTTGGGGAGCAAGCGAGCCGGAAAGGCCGCATCAGTCAAACTCAATCTCAGCGATTGGAATGCTGAGTGCGACCGTATGTGTTTGTTGGGACACCTCTTGCAAGCTATGCATGACACCACTGCTGACGATGGGCACCCTCTTTTTGATGCACCATTGTTGGCCACCTTGGTGAAGCGTTGCCTTGATGGGTCGCGCTGGCATGATTGTGCCAAAAAAATCAGCCAATCACCAGTCCCTGGTCCCAGGTCCAGGTCCCAGGTCCGAGGTCCTATTTCCAACCAAACACCGGCCAGGGACTTCAACGACGAGGCCAACGAAGTGCTGCTGGTGAAGGACCCGGCCTTCAAGGTCTCATTCATGCAGGTCTGGACAGAGAACCTGCCAAGTGCAACGCCCGGTTCCAGCGCAGAAGCCTTCAGTGCTGCCAACGAGCAAATTGCTCAGTTGAACCAAGATGCACGTAAAGTTGCCTTTGAACGTGACACACTTATCTTTGCAAAAGACACCGCCTCTTTAGGCAAACTTTATGAGCAAGAATCAAAATCCGAGAAATCAAAGAGAACTCAACGGGTGCTCCATATTCGGCAACAGAATGTCATCGGTGCAAGCATTGTTTCTAGCTTCATGCAGAAGAGTATGAACTTTGTTGCTGGAAAACCCTATGAGCTTACAGCTGCAGTTGACAAGGCTTGTCTCTTAAAAAGAACCCTCACCTTTAACTTGGGCATTGTTTGATCTAGTGATCTCGCACCAGCATGTGTTTGTTTTGCAAGGTTCTCCAATGCAAATTCAAGCAGTGTTAATCGTGTGTGTGCCCCCTGAGTTCATCGATTCAGCTGGAGAAGGTGTAGGTTTTGTGGTCTGGGCTGATGCCACAAAACTGGGACGGTTGTCGAACAACGACCTCAACACAATGTGCGATAGCATGGCCAATGTCCTCACAAAGAAGCCCTTGCACGCTGTGGGATTTTTGGTAGCACCTTATCTATGCAGCGAGAAGGTCCAGAATGGTTCCCGAGGAGAGCGCAGGATCCTTGTCATAAGGCATAAGGGGGGTGTGGGGGTGTCATCAGTTGTCCTAAAAACACCTCCTTCAGATGGGGGCTTGATCAGGGAACACCCTCCTCTCAGCTCAGGAGAATTGAAGACAAACTCGACATGCTCGGCCTGGCAAGTCTGATGGTCACCATCAAAATGGATACACCGCCTGCGAGCAAACGCGTGCCATGCGTGTTTCACGGCTGGTTGGTCTTTCAAGAGGACACCATTTCCGACAATGCCTTCTCTCAGTGCAGTTTGATGTTGGACAGGCGTGTTTTTTTATGGTTTTGTATCCTTGGATGGGAAAGGTCCAAACTGTAGAAGGCTAGTAGGTGTTGGATGGCCATGGGAACGATAGGAACACTTGATTCCATTGCTTTAATCAGCCAACTCCACAATCCATCTACAGGTGTCCGCGTACAACAATTTCATGGACTCCAGAAACTGCATACATCATACCAATTGCGGAGAAAGACACGCTTCCGCACGCAGCAGATGGATCTCGGTGCTTTAGCATTAATTTAGTAAAGAATGTCTATTCACCCTCGTTGCCTTCTTAGAATCTTGCAGTCAGTGAATACTTTAACAGTTCACTAGTTCTTAGAACCACTGTTTGTTTGCTATGACAGCGAACACCCAATTAGTCCCACTGCTTCTCCAGGTCAATGAGCGACGTTCAGGAGTCAGCACAGCTGCTGTCAGGAAGGGAATTTCCTGTTGCCATCCTTGAGGCTTTATGGAACAAGGCAAAGATTCCTGCTGGCAAAATGATGCTAGTGAATGTCACACCTTACGATGGGTGGCTTGAGAAGATATGTCTAGAGTGGGGTCGAAACCATGCAAAGCAAGAAATCCAATCACTGTCAATTGCAGAGAGCAGCAAATCCATACCTTTGGACTATTGCCAAAAAACTCTGGCAATGGAGCTGCTGGAGGATAGGTGTTGGTGGTGAAACTAAGACCTGAGCCTAACTGTGGACTGTGGACTCTCTAGGACCAACAGCCTAGCTGCAATTTTAAGTTACAGCAGCAGTAAATTAGTTAATCTTGAGAAGTACATTTTGGGATGACCTGACCCCTGAGGACTGGAAGGCAGGCAAACCCACGATGGGCAAGGTGCGTCCGTACGAACCCGATCCAGCTGAATCGGAACAACCCACTGATTTGGCAACTTTCAACTTCAAGCTTGTCAAGGTGGCCGTTGATCCACTGAAATCTGGGTGGGGGAGGTACACGATATCAATACCAACAAGTGTACGTGAGATGTACGCAAATGACATTGTCTATGGAGAAGATTGGGCGAGTCTGTTGAGAGACTTTGACAAGAGGCCCTTGATGTCCAAAAAAACATAAAACACGTTGTTTCACAGGGATCCCATGCCAACATACCTTCTCCATCCCATCCCATGCCATCCTTTACAACTCAGACTCCACATCAGGTTTGGCATTGGTCAGAGTCCTGCCTTGGCAGTGGTCGCAGCGCCACCGCCTGA